CCCACAGCTGAACCAGTCCATTTATTCGGCAACGTTTGCTCATGCCTTCCCCTCCCGCAGACGGTCTATGAGGCCACTTTATAAACAGGGGCTCTTACCCACACAGGATGGAGAGGAAGGGAACGTGGTGGAAATACGGCTTTTCTTTTCTTTTTTTTTTTTTTTTTTTGCTTTGACATTTATCTGCCCCATTTCCTGACCCCAGAATCTTATTTTCGTCATGATCTCGCATTGTTGAGTTTTCACAGAGTCTTGAGAGGCTTACACCTAACCAAGAGAAAGTACATTTCCAAGAGGAACATTTAGATCTGATTTTTCATGTAAAACCCTTGTCTTTCTTATGTAAAATTATGGGACTTTTTTTTTTTTTAAGATGGTTAATTCCACCATCAAGTAGATTGTACTTACTTGAGTTCAAACAGCTTTTTAAAAAAAAAAAAACTGGGTGTTACACGCAAATCATGAATCATGGAACGCTGTATCAAAAACTACTGAAGCACTATATGATTAACATAACCGAAAACAAAAAACAAGAGAATGTGAAAGTCACTCTTTCTCCCATGAAGTCCACAGATAAACCGCTGACCCCAAAGAAGAGCAGAAGAGTCCTCATTGGCTCTTCTCCTGGGCTGGGCTCTGCAGGGATGATTTCCAACCTGACTGAGCGATAGCTTGTCTCTGTCTCTCGGGATATTTTGCTCGAGTCCATGGCATCAGCCAGCTGCTGAAGGCATTTCTACGGAAGACAGAATGTCATTATCAAATTCTAAATCTTGGGGCTGGGGTAGATACCACCTTCTGGAGATTAAAGGTAAATGAAAATTCCCCTTCTTCTTTCCCGAATTGTTTCATTCGTGAAGGTGCCCGCCTGGTTCAAAAATGTTAAAAATATATTCAGAAGGAATGCAGTGACTGCCTGTCTCGCGCCCCTGTCCCCAGCTGCTTGCACCTGCTGCCACCCTCAGCCACATACGTGATGTCCCCAGGGCCTCGCTGAAGGATAGGTGCCTGGCTTCCCATCCTTTGCTGTTGCAACAGGGGTTATGATAAAAAAAAGTCCTTGTAGACATGTCCTCAGCACGTGTGGAAGAGCCCTGCCAGTGGAATTGTGAGACCCAGAGCCCCTGCATCTGCCATATTGACGATAAGGAAGAGGTTTCCTTTTTTATTATGTTATGTTACTCACCATTCATTACACCATTAGTTTTTGATGTAGCGTTCCGTGATTCATTGTTTGTGCATCACACCCAGTGCTCCGTGCAGAACGTGCCTTCCCCAATATCCATCACCAGGCTACACCATCCTCTCACCTCGCTCTCCTCTAGAACCCTCAGTTTGTTTTTCAGAGTCCATAGTCTCTCATGGTTCATCTCCCCCTCCCATTTCCCCACCTTCATTCTTCCCCTCCTGCTATCTTCTTTTTTTTTTTAACATATAATGTATTATTTCTTTCAGACGTACAGATCTGTGATGCAACAGTCTTACACAATTCACAGCGCTCACCATAGCACATACCCTCCCCAATGCCTTATCACCCAGCCACCCCATCCCTCCCACCCCCCACCACTCCAGCAACCCTGAGTTTGTTTCCTGAGATTAAGAATTCTTCGTATCAGTGAGGTCATACGATACATGTCTTTCTCTGATTGACTGATTTCGCTCAGCATAACACCCTCCAGTTCCATCCATGTCTGATAACGATGATTTTATGGTCGTCATGACAGTGTCCTCGGTACGGTTTGAGGATGTGCAAGGCTGGGTGATGGTGATATGAAACAAAGGCCTTTTGTAGCTGTTCCCTGATTTGGTCCCTCACCTGCTCTGTTAGGGGGCAAGAACAGGTGTATGTAACTACGCTCATTGACGGGAAAGGCGACGGGTCTGGTTAGTGGCAGAACCAGGACAATAGGACTGCAGCTCCTGCAAGTCCGGGTTCCTTCCCTGTTCTCTACACAGGGCCTTGTGCTTGTTCAGGGGAATCTTTGCGGTCTGTCGATTCACGGTGTGTGTGTACCTCAGGCCCCACGTCTGTGTCCCGTGTCATAAGTCATAAAGGCACAGCCACGGCGCTTACTAGGGCAGGTCCTGCTGGGAGAGTCTCCCGTGTATGTATTTCCTCAGGAATCCTCACAACCCCGTGAGGTGCTATCACTTTCTCTACTGTGCAGACGAGGAACGCTTGGCCCGGGGAGGTGAGTGACTTCCAGCGCCTCACAGCAGACACGTGGTGGAGCTGGGATCGGAAGCCCATTCCCCGGCTCCAGAGTGCCGGCCCTTTCCCCCCACCGTGCTCTCCTCTCACAGAAAAAGTAGTAGTACCACAAGCTGGTGCTCGCCCTCACAGTGTGGGGTGCTTTGTGATATTTGCTCTTGTATCCTATTTGATCCCCTAAATGCTGGTTCCCCCCCCGCCCCCCCCCCACAGTGGTTTCCTGACCCTCCCTAATCTGTCTCAGTCTGGGTTTTGGAAAAGTCTGTTAGGTTCTACTTCCCCAGCACCTCTCAGTGCGTCCCCACCTCTCAGTGTCCATCCCCGTGGCGGCTGCCCCAGTTCAGGCTCCCCATGACTTCTTCCCTGGACCTTCTTCCTGGATGGCTGTGAGATCCTCCTAACTTTTGTCCTCCGTCCGTTCTCCATGCGGAGACCAAAGTCACCTAAAAAATACATTTCTGACCATAGTGTTCGTAATTTAAGGCGCTAAGTCCACCTTTGCTGTTTGGGGCCTAGTGTTCAGTCCATGAAGATGGTCGGTCAATGTATGAGGGAATGCAGAATTAGAAAACGTACTGTGTATTTGTCCTCAGGATGAAGATCTTCTCCCAGGTAAGTATTCTGAGGTCGACTTTCCAATGATAGTCACGAGAAAGCCGCACAGCACCACGGAACCTCACTGTGGGGTTGCTCACAAGGTCCTCGATCTTGGGACGAGCACGTGGCCCTGCAATGCTCTATGAATGGAGAACACACAGGATGGACGTGCCATGCACACACGTGCTTTGGTCAGACTGAACTCCCCTTTTGACCCCACTATTGGGGAAAAAAAGAAGCAAAAGCTGTGGAAAACTCACACTTTCATATGTCTGCCAGCCTAAAGAGTAGGTCCAGTACAGCCACCTGCCCCAAAGACGTTGAAAGATGTGCCCCAGATAACGGGGCACATGACAGTCACCTGCAGGAGCTCTCAGAACCACCCGTCGTTCCTGTTGCAGCAGCCTGATGGTCTACCAATTCCGGTCTGTTCTGTCATTTCATAATCGATCATGTTTCCTGTCAAGCATTAAAGCAGCCCCAAAGAAACCTGGAGAAGAATCGGCTCCCAAATCCAAAGGGAGAAACGCTTTTTCAAAAGCTATTCAAAATTAAACTAAAAGTCGTCCCAAGGCGTTTCCACAATTCTTTCCTCGCAGTTCCCAATTTCTCAATGTCAAGGTCTTGGGCAGTCCGGTCCACAGGGGCCCGGCTTTGGAGACAGCGGCACCTCTACAGTGCCTGGATGGACGCCCGAACCTCGTAGGCGGATCCGATGGGCTCTGATGGCCCCTTACTTATTTAGTGCCATGAGGCACTGGGAGGTGGAGGGTCTACAGCGGCGGGGCGACCCGGAAAGCCTGAGGCCATCGCCCGCAGAGCACAGCGTCCGCTCGGCCTGGGGCTCACTGGTTCCCGGAGTTTTCAGCCAGGGCAAAGCCCGGGGGAGGGCAGGGGAAGGCTCGGGTCCAGTGCGCCCAGGGCGATGCTGGGTGGGGCCTGGACAGAGGGCGACGGGGACAGCCGACCCACCCAGCTGCTCCCCAGGGGCTCGGGCAGCGGCACCGAGCCGGGCTCCAGGTCTTGGCGTGGCGCAGCCCCAGGCCCAGACCCCGAGGCCTGATGTGGGGCGGCGGCAAGGGACAGAGCGCGCGACCAGGAGAGCAGCCGGCCCTCCCGCGCCCGAGCCTGGTCTGGGCTCCTGCCGATCCGGATCGACGCGCTCGCCTGCCCACGGTCTGGTTGGTCAGCTGCTTCATGCAGCTGGATTGCTTCTTGCTGGCGGCGGCGGCGGGGGCCGGCACGGCCAGGGCCGGGCAGCTCGAGGAATCGCCCGGGGGGAGGGGGGCCGACGTCGCTTCATGTCCACCCGAGGCGGCAGTGGAAGCGGCTGTGGGCCCGGCGCCCCCCCCTCGCCGCCTCTCATCCAGTGGCGCGGCAGGTCGGGGCCTTGGGAGGCCAGACCCGGGACGCGGTACCCAGCCCGTCCTCCACCCAGGGCGGGAACCCCGGGGCCGCCCTGTGCAGGGCCCGGAGGCCCCCTCTCGGGCACCGCCACCGCCGCCCGCGACCCCCTGCCGGGTCCAGCCGCACACCTCCGCGAGGCAGCGGATGCGCGCAGCGCACGGAGCCACCGGTGAACCGCCAAACCCCGGTGTGGGACGCACTGTCCCCGCAGAGCTGGCAGGGCACGGAAGGACGGAACACTCTGGAGCCTCTGGAGGCTGGAAATGCCCAAAGTCTCCTTGAGGGCCGTGCCTCTGCGCAGGTGTAGATATTTGTCAAATGCACCTAGGATCTGCTCTCCTAGGTGAATGGATGCATTGCATGCATTGCATGCATTGCATGCATTTCCTGGGGGAAAGTCCAGGGCCAGATGCATTTTCTGTGGGCGGGCACCTGGGGGCAGTCAGGCAGGAGCACTCGCTAGGGGCCCACCCAGGACAGCCAGGAAGCGGGGAACAGGGGAAGGGGCCCAGCCCTGCGTGGGAAGTCGTGGGGCTGAGCGTCTGGGACCGGGACCGGTGGCCAGAGTCGGCCCTGGGAAGGCCCAAGGTCTCGGGCTTTCCTAGCAACGTGGCCTGCGCAGGGGAGGCGCGTGCCGGGCCCGCGCAGGCGTTGCCTAGAAACGCCTGTTGTCTTCTGATTCTTAGCCTGGCGCAAGCAGGCGTTCTGGGACACTTGGCGGGGTAGTCCGACTGCGCTGGACGCTTTTCCACAGCGGACCGCGACAGTTATATGACCCGCGAAGATGTGCTCCTGGGTTGGTGGCCTGGGCTCTGGCCTAGGCCATTCCCAGGGAGGAGTGGATGGCAGTGAGACTTCCTTGACCGGCTCCAACTCGGATCTCACCATGGACTTTGGTGATGTCATATCATCTCAGACAGAAATCAATAGACTCCTCAATGAGATCCAAAGACTGGAGGCTGATCTTACACTTTGGAAACATTTGTCCAAGGGACCGAATAGCTCAGACTCCAATGCCATCTGGAAACTGAAGAGCACCATCAGGGACCTAGAAGAGAGGCGGATGAGGGAGATCGAGGAACATCAACTCGGAGTTGCGATACTGCACAGTGTCCATCAAGAAAAACTGGCCGACATCACTGACAGGCACCGCAAACAACTCCTCGAGTATGAAAGACGGATAGAAGACCTGCAACATCAAGAGTCTGCCAGTCATGGGAAAGATGACTTACTTCAAGAAAGGGAAACTGAGCTTAGAAGGTTGAAGCAACAACTTGCAGAAATGGAGCGGCTGAATGACCGTTTAAACAACGTTGCTTCTGATCTCAGAGCAGAAAACCAAAAGTTGGTTTTGGCGCTCCAGGATGTAAGACATCAGCTGGAAGAATCTATTCTCCGGAACAACGAGGATTCTCTGGAAAACAACACTGCTGTGAGGGCTTTAAAAATAGAAAAAGGACGGTTAATAGCAAAATTGGCTCGGGCGGAAAAGAAGCTGTTGGAGGAAACAAACAAGGATGAGCAAACTATCAAAGAATTGTCCCCTTTAGAGCATGTGCATTGCATTCAACACAGTCAAGAGAAAGACCTGGAAATAGTACACCTCAAAAAGAGGATCGAGCAGATGGACGCCGACCATACAGAAACGAAGGAAATGCTGTCCTCTGCTCTGGAGGAGCAGAAGCGATTGACACAACTCGTTAAAGAGAAAGAGATGTATATTGAAGAACTTACAGGAAGTCCAGAGCTTCAGGAGGAATTCGGTCAGTCTACCCAAACCTTCAGAAGTAATGACATTTCCCAGCCATCCGTGGAGGACAAAGACAGGTGTCTCCCATCCGTGACAGGCGAAAATCCTCATCTGAGAGAAGAACTGGAGAGCCTAGGACAACAGAGTCGCTCTGTTCCTGCGCTCGACCCTAAAATCCTAGACGAGATCGTAGAACTGGAGTGTGAGGTGTTTCACCTCCAGGAGTTAAAGGATGATCTCGAGGAGGAAATCAGAGAGCAGCAGAAGATCATTCACAACCAGCAGCAGGGGAAGATAGGACTGCTTCATTCTTTACAAGAGCAGAAGCAGAAAGTGGAGCAGCTCCAATACCAGCAGGAGCAGATGAATATTGAACACGCTCAGCTCCTTTCAGCGAAAGACGAGGAGATTCAGCATTTGCAGGACACGATAGACCAAATGAAAGCCCGGTTGCCTGACAAAAGCCAGCACATTCCGACAGAAGACTGTGATGATGTGGAAGTCCCAACCAGTCAGCCTCTTCCCAGACAAAACGCAAGTGAAAAGCTTGATTCACGTGAAGCCGAAACTCAAATATCAGTCCTAGGAATCAAAGAACACGAACTGGAGATGAAGCTTCTAACTGAACAGAACATCCGACTGACGGAACAGATGGATCGGCTCTCCAAAGAGGAGATTGGTAAACTAACTCAGATTATCCAGCAGAAAGACTTGGAGATTCAGGGTCTTTCCAGCAGGATCTCTGCGGCTTCTCACAGCCAGAACCGGGACGTGGAGCGACTTCAGCGGCAATTGCAAGAGTACGCTTGGAAAAGCGAACAGGTCTTGGCGGTCTTAAATGAGAAAACGAGGGAGAACAGCAATCTGAGGACAGAGTATGACAAAATGGCGGATAGGATGGCTGCCACAGAAGCAGACCTCCGGCGGATGCAAGAGGAAAATCAAAAACTGTCCACTAGAATGGACAGTAGTGGTCAGGAGATGTTTAGAGAAACGATTCAGAATTTATCACACATCGTTCGAGAAAAAGACCTCGAAGTGGATGCGTTAAGTCAGAAATGTCAGACTTTATTGACACTCCTGCAACCCTCCAGCCCTGGTAATGAGGTTCGAGGCGTTCATATGGATCAGTTCAAGCAGCTTCTACAGGAACGGGACACATTAAAACAGCGAGTGAAGATCATGGAAGAGTGGAAACAGCAGGTGATGACCACAGTCCAAAATATGAAGCGTGAGTCACCCCAGCTTGAGAGAGAGCTGGCACAACTCCAGGCGCGGGCTTTCACCAGCAGCGAGAAGGATTCTGAACTACCGACGACCTCTAGTGACCTGATGCAGACGTACAAAGGCAATGAAATAAAATTACAACATTTAGAGAAGGAACTGGCACAAATTCAGCTCAGCATCGGGGAGCTTTGCAATGCCAAGGATCTCCTTCTAGGGAAACTGGACGTGATTTTCCTCGAGCCCTCCCCCGACTGCTCAGAGTCAGCGGACTCTCTGGAGCCCGTGAAATCTGACAGAGTGGGTGAGGCTTCTGAGTTGCTCCAAGTGGAGGTAGAAGAGCTGAGAAAATCAATGCAAGAAAAAGATAGGATGATTCGAACCCTCCAGGAAGATAAGCAGAGATGGACTGATTCAGTGGCTGCCACGTGGGAAGGAGAAGGCCCAGAACAGGAACACAGGGATTCCGACATCGAGCAGCTGAAGGAGAAACAGGCCGTTCTACAAAACTTCATTCGGGATCAGGAGCTCCGAATCCAAGCGAAAAGTGAGGACTTGCTTTCTTTGCAGGAGAACTTCCGTAGCCAAGTGAGTGAAAATGAACTTTTGAGGCAGACGGTCACCAATCTGAAGGAGAGAATAGCAGAGTTGGAAATGGATGTGTGTCAACCGAGAGAGGAAAATGCAAAAGTCGAGGAAAACTCTCGAGAAAAGGCAGTGGGAGATGAGGCATTGCAAGAGACAGATAGGCTGCTTTCAGTGATGCGGAGAGAGGAGGAATCCCAGGGTGCTGCGATGAAAGAGAAGGCACTTGCTTTGGAGCAACTATCGCAAGAGAGAGAAGAGCACGAGACCGGGGTATTGAACCGGCCGGTCAGTGCAGTTCCATCAATGCAGGGAAAGACAGTTCTGTGCCAACAGGGGAGAGATGAAGTCCTGTTGGCCCTGACACAGAAACAAATGGAAACCTGTGCCCTCCAGAAGGAGGTTCGCCATTTACGTGAGAGCGAATTACGCCTAACCCAGGAGCTGGAGAGACGGCGACACCTCGCTCTAGAAGCCGAAGACGCTCATCGCCGGGAAGCTCTGGCCTCAGAAGACAAAGTGGCTCAACTCAGGAAGGAAGTGACGGTCTTGCAGGGAAGACTCGTTTTGTCTTCCACTGCCATGGAAAATGCCAGCCGAGGAGCCAGTCTGCAGGTAGAGTCGCTGCAGGAGCAACTGCACGTGGTGACCCAGCAGAAAGAGGACACTGCGCTCCAGCTTGCTGCCTCGCAGGAAGAAGGAAGGCAGTATGGTCACATCCTAGCTGACCTCAAGTTGGAACTCGCCGAATGGATGGAAAAGGCAGACAGCCTCGAAGGAAAACTGAAGTCATTGCAGGGACGATTACATAAAACAAATGCTGACTTGGAGCTGAAGGAAGACCAACTCCAAGAATTCCAGAAACAGAATGAGGTCCAGCAGGAAATCCTGGAGGACACACAGAAGAAACTGATGAACTTAGTCAGTAAGTCCGAAGGAATGGTGGACAAAACCCTACTAAGGAGACTCTTCCTGGGATCTTTCCAAGCCCCTGACGCTGAACGGCAGGAAGCCTTAAGGTTGATGGGAAGCATGCTGGGGATCCGAGAAGACCAGATGCGGCAGCTGTTCAGTGAAGGGCCAGGTGGTGGTACCAGCTGGATGAGTCGGGGGCCTGGATCCAAAAGCGCCCCCAACACACATGTGAAGCCAAATCACCGACCTATGGCCAAGAATTCTTTTTCAGGGCTTTTCGTCCAGTTTCTAGAAGCGGAATCTCATTCAGCTTTGCCACCACCAAAGCCCTCTGCTCATGACGTGAAGCCCCCAGATCCCGGAGGAAGGGGAAAACTGGCTATGAAACAAGGCCCAGCACGTCTGAACACTACCCTAGCATCCACATCCCGGAAAAAAGATGTGAAGCCCCGCACCACAACGGTGTCTCTTATTACCCCACCTGGACCGGAAGCGGATGGATCGGAGCACCTTCTTCTAAATGCCGTCACTGATGCTTTGCCCACGTACGCACCCCAAATACTGTCACCTGCGGAGAAGGTTGGAATGGCGGCCAAAGGCCTCTCAAAGAAATAGAGGATTCTCAAGCCAGAGATGAGACAGTGCTCGGAAGACCCCAAGTCACTCTGTGTGTTTACCTAATCCCAAAATGTCCTTTTGCAAAACGTAATATATTTGCAGTCTTGCTTTCAGCTTAATAAAAATATTCTTTTATGAGTTAACAAAAAAAGGCATCTTTTAATGACTGCAGAGGTATTCACCAAACTGAAAATGGTGGGTATTTCTTATGAGAGTAGACACTGGTGGGGTTGGGGGCTGCGGTCAATGGTACTTCCAGTATTGTTTGTAATGCTTTGATGTTTTCATAAGGAGCATGTATATACATATACCTTTGGTAAGGAAAACATCCACTCGTTTTAATGTTCCCAACTTATCAAATACATGAGCACCCACGCCTTGTTGGAGAAACTGGGTGTATAGCATGAAAGTTTAAGATGAATACATTTTTTTAAAAAATGCGAGTTTGATTTTCCCAGTTATGTCCCATTTCTCTTTCTCCTTTTTTATTTTTAATTGTTTTTTCCATTTCATTTTATGTTGCCTGGGAATCTACTTCATGGGTAACCTGATTTATCTCAGGCCTTTAGAAATATATGTATATTTGTCTTTTTGGGCGTATAGTATTCTATGACTTGCTTTTAAAAAAAAAAAATCACTCTGCCTTCGAGATCTTTACAAATGTGAATGAATTCCAATTCATTCTTTAAAAGGAAATGCAGGCCTTTGTGGATATACCCTAAATTACCGAACTAGCTCCTACTGATCAGTATTTAATCAGTTTTTACTTCAAATGTCCATGGTCAACTCCCTTGTTCCTTTCCTCAGAAGCCACTCCAAATCTTCGTTTGCAGTGCCAGGCTCATTACTCCACTATACTCTGGAAACCATCCACTCAAACTTCTTTTCTTCTCCTTCTCCTTCTCCTTCTCCTTCTCCTCCTTCTCCTTCTCCTTCTCCTTCTCCTTCTCCTTCTCCTTCTTCTCCTTCTCCTTCTCCTTCTCCTTCCTTCTCCCTCTCCTTCTTCTTCTTCTTCTTCTTCTTCTTCTTCTTCTTCTTCTTCTTCTTCTTCTTCTTCTTCTTCTTTTTAACGATTTTATTTATTTATTTGACAGAGCAGGAGAGCACAGGCAGGGCGGGTGGCAGAGGGCGAAGGAGAAGCAGGCCCCTTGCTGAGCAGGGAGCCTGATGTGGTGCTTGATTCCCGGGTCACTGAGATCATGACCTGAACCAAAGGCAGACGCTAAACTGACTGAGCCACCCAGGCGCCTCCCATTCAGACTTCTTGAAAGATCTCATTCCATTAATTTTCCATTGTGCTGTATCTTCAGCCTGCCAAATATCTTAAATCCTTCCCTCCCTTTCTGTTGCCAGTGCTCTGGTTCACCCATTCCTGTCTCTTGCACAGACTAGTGCAGTAGACTGCCTACTGATCTTGCTGGTTCCACACTCGGCCTCCTTTGAATCCATTCTCCATGCTGCTGTCAGGGCGAACTGAGACGAAAATCTGATGTCACTTCCCTGCTGCCATTATTTGTGGGTTCCCTCATTGCTTGGAGTTCGACCTTTAGGAGACCATCCAAGCCCTTGCTTTTGCAGCCTTCCCTCCTGCGCATCATTCACATACAGGCTGCCCTTTAGCCGCAGGGAATTCTTACAAGCCCCCAATAGATTCTTATCCAAAGAACTTCAAGTGCATGAGCCTCATCGTTGTGCCTTGCCAAAGGTACAAAGCAGAAGGATTTCATTTTTCTCCTCTTCACCCGTTGGTAAAGGGAGTGATTCCCACCCTAAAGTTATGGGATGTCCGGATGCTGAACAGATGAGCTCGACACTAATTTATTACCCATGTCTACTCGTGGCCCACACCATGCAGGGCCACAAGGGGGTTTTACCTGGGAGCAGAATGAAGAAGGGCTTTGGGGCGGGGGCAGACCTTGTAGTAACAAGAGAGTGACGGTGAGCCCTACTTCCTGCAGGAGGGCATGACTGGCTTGCTGGATAATTGCACACGCTGTCAGGGAAATGGACCTTACTCCTTGGGGAGAAACTGTGCCTGGTCCCTGGGATAAAGAAGGTCGTTTGGCCAGGAGACCTGATCTGTGGGAGCAGAGGGGGAAGGGAACTTTGGGTGAGACCGAGGCCATTGGAGGCCCTCTGATGTTCCCTGATACTAAGACAACACTTCCTATTGAATCTTAATCTCAGGCTTTCCATCACAGTGGACTCTGATATCTAGACATCAATTTCAACCTGGGACTGAGACTTTTAAGGAGTAGGACAGGTGCTTCTCTAGGAAGTGAAATTGTCACGTGAACAAGAGGGGGAGTTGGTCTTCAAAACCAAAATGTATCAACGGTCATTGATGGTCACTCAGTTGATCCCAAGGGAATCCTTAGGTAGCCAAGGGGTAGAAGGAAAGGCTGACGTCCTCCAGCACCATGGAATCTGGCAATGGACTGTGGATAGAAGCAGCCACCCCCACCTGCAGGTTGGATATGCAGACTTTGGCTTCAGCCTGTAGCAAGAAGGCCTTGGTAACTACATTAAGCTGGTGGGGGTATCATGACCCGAGGCAGAGCAGACAGCGGGATATGAAGGCTCAGAGTCTGTAAGAGACTCCGTTTCCAGGAGAGCCCAGTGCATGGTCAGCAATTGCTGCTTTCATGGTCTATAACCCAGGGCCAAGGAGGGCCATTTCTTGCATTGGGAGTCCATGGACGATTCCAGTGACTCCAGGAAGCTGGAGAGGTAGTTGCTAAAGCCTTTTTACTTAGGGCACTAACGGGTGATTTTTTTTTTTTTTTTAAGATTTTATTTATGTATTTGAGAGACAGTTGGAGCTGGAGGAGGAGGTCAAAGGGAGTGGGAGAAGAAGCAGGCTCCCCACTGAACAGGGAGTTCCCTGCCAGGCTGGATCTCAGGACCCTGAGATCATGACTTGAGCCAAAGGCCGACGCTTCACCAACTGAGCCAGCCAGTCGCCCCCTCACAGTTGTTTTGGACAGATCCTAGAGCCTTTTGTTGAGGGGAGCCCCACCCAGCGTGGGCTCAGTGACAAGTAGCAGCCTAAATGGGCTTATGTAAAATTTATAAACAAGGAATATGTTGCCTCTAGAACCAAAAAAAAAAAAAAAAAAAATACTGACAGAATTTGGACTTGTATGTCCTTCCTTGTTTGTAAGGATTTTATTTGGTTACTTGAAAGAGCACGAGAGTGAGAGCACAAGGGGCTGGTAGGGGCAGAGGGAGAGGGAGAAGCAGGCTTCCCAGTGAGCAGGGAGCCTGATGCGCGGCTTGTTCCCAGGACCCTGGGTTCATGACCTGAGCCGAAGGCAGACGCTTAATGGACTGAGCCACTCAGTCGCCCCTGCACCTGCATGTCCTTAACAAGTGTGTCAAACAAATGTCCTCACAGTAGGTAGTCGTAAATGTGATGTCATACCTATGTCCCTGGAGAAGGACGGGTGCAGTAAGATCCTGCCCACAAAGATGTCTGTGATAGCAGAGAGGTTTGGGTGCCCTGTGCTTAACAAGGTAAAATGTGTCCCCTTCAAAGTCAAGGCACATTTGACCGAGAGGATGTTGAAATACGCATGGAACAGAACATATTGGCCAAATCTATATTAGCAAAATATTCCCCATCCTTAAATTTGTTGGGCTCCCTTGTGTTTTTTTTTAAAGATTTTATTTCTTTATTTTAAAGAGAGAGACACCTAGTGCACGAGCCCAGTTGGGGCGGGGGGGGGCGGAGGGAAGGGCCGAGTGAGCGATTCCCAAGCTGACTCCACCCTGAGCACGGAGCCTAACATGGAGCTGGATCCTATGAACCTGAGACCATGACTTGAGAAGAAAGCGTAGCCCACTGAGCCACCCAGGTGGCCCTAGGGGTCTCAGAGGTTTTCAGGGGACCAGGATTTATTTTAATCAGGTATGATAAGTTAGGAAGATATAGAAGTAACTGTCACAATGGAAGAAGTTTTGTAGATTTAGAGGCCCCAAGAAAGGAGGTTCTGAGAGCCTTGCAGGGCCACCTGGGGAAGCACCAGGATTGGTCAGGAGAAAGAGGGAGTGAAGGGAAAATGTGGGCAAGACCCTTTATTGTGGTTTCCATGGGAAGGGACAGGTGAGGCAGGATAAGCACGTTTAAGACTGGCTAGTTTGAGTAATTTCAGGGGGCTCCAGGCCAGAGTGGTGTCTGCAGGAGTCTGTCCCGCCCTTGCGGTGATCAGGGAGGCCATAGTGGCCCAGAGCTGCTTAAGATGAGGTGGTTGGCAGTAAGGGTTCTGTACCGGTTGGTTTGGATGTGAAAGGTATGCTCCCAGGCCAGTTGTGGACTTTTTCTAAGAATTAACTAAGCCTGCCAGGGACAGTCCCTCCAAAGTCAGCAAGTCTGAGATGTCAAAGCATTAAATACAGAAGCTAGAAAATACGGTTATTTTACTAGGTACAAGCATAATTGGAGCCCTGGTATCGAATCCATGAAGGTTACCCAACTGGTACATCTTAGCAGACATTAACGTTAATTCAGAACCTATGTTTTAGAGGGCCAAAAGCCAGTTGACCTCATTTTATCTTTTGCCATATAAATTATCTTAGTAAATTTGGATTTCTTTTTTTTTTTTTTTTTTTTTTTTACGGTTTATTCATTCATTTGAGAGAGAGACAGCAAGCAGGTGTGAAAGAGCAGGAACCAGGGGGAGCTGCAGGCAGAGGCAGAGGGAGAAGCCGACTGACTCCCCTCCAAGCAGGGAGCCTCTCATGGGGCTCAATCCCAGGTCCCCGGGATCACGGCTGGAGCCGAAGTCGGACGCCTAAGCATCCGAACCACCCAGGCGCCCCTGTGAATTTTGGATTTCCAGTTGGGTCAAATTGTGAACCTATGTCGAATTAATTTGGGGGGGTTCCTCTTCCTGTATCCAGTTTTCTTTCTTCCATTCCTCCTTTTCTTGGGTTTGTTTGGTCCTGGATATATGCTTGGGTTAGGGAGTGTCTTTTTACCCTGTTCATCTTTCTCC